GTATGAGATGCGCGTTGCCCTTAAGAAAGGTTATGGTTGTATGCTAAGATCCATCTCATCTCGGCTGGGAGCACTGGGACGTCGAGTCCTACAGTATTGCGAGTGTCTACCTGCCGACCAGATTGCCCACCAGTGGCAGGCTCAGCTTTGCGATTTGAAATCGGTCGATCTGGACCGATGTCAGGACATGATAGATCGTTGCACGGCAGTCCTCTCTAAGGCTTGGCAGGTTGCCCGCGCGTCAGCAGCTAAGGCGATAAAGGACTGGCTGTTGAAGGCGCTGCCCCGAGGTGCCGCCAAAGCCCACGCCTGGCTTAGGCGTGAAGAACAGGATGGGTCAGAGTTTTTTGCTGCCCCTGAAGGTATTCTCCAGCTCCCGCAGGAGATGATGGCTCACCGTGAAAAAATCTGGGGTGGATTTTGGACTGCCAGCCCAATCCAGATTCGACAGTTGACTGGGGCGTTGGATGAGCTGCGTGGTTGCGCGCTGGACTTGTTGCCCGAACTTCCCGAGATCACCACTAGAGACCTCCATCTCGCTGCGAGGGTCTTTTCTGGGACCACTGCGGTTGGAGTGGATGGATGGAGACCTCGGGATTTTCTGGACTTGGAGTTAGGTGCCGCCGATGCTCTCGTCGGGCTCTTGAATGATTGTGAGGCCAATATGATGTGGCCTGCCCAGACTCTCCTTAGCATTATTTGCTTGCTTCCCAAAAGCAAGGTTGATGAGCGCCCCGTTTGCAAATGCCCCACCCTTTACCGCATCTACTGTAAAGTTCGCGGGGACTTCTTGGGGGCCTGGACCCAGGGCCATGTTGACTTTTGGGATGACGCCATCAGGGGCAGTTCCGCCCTTCAAGCTGCGCTTCGCCGAGAGCTGTCTCACGAGGTGGCTGCCTTCCAAGAAGTCTCCAGTGTTGCGATCCACTGGGATCTCAAAAAATTCTTTGATACTGTTATCCATGCTAGGCTTGTTCGTTTCGCCACTGCTTTGAGGTTCCCACCGCACCTCTTGTACCTGGGCCTCCTCGTGCATGTGGCCCCCAGGATGCTCGAGAGTAGCGGCTTTTGCTCCCAGATCATACCTGCTGGGATTGGCGTTCTCCCTGGATGTATGCAGTCTATGTCCTGGGTCAAGGTGTACTTATATCAGATATTGAATGGTGTGCATAATCGGTATTTCTGTGGGAATCCTAGTGTGTCTACCAGGTCTTACGTTGACGACATATCCCAGGTGTGCCAGGGAGCCGAAGACCAGGTCCGACGGCAGATTGTTGCCGCAGCAGTTCAGCTAGGTCAATTGGTCAAAGCAGCCGAGCTTGTTTTATCTAATAAGTCTGCGGTTGTCGCGAACCGACGACCTCTTGCACTGCTTGTCGCTAATGATTTGAAAGCAGCAGGCCTCTCAGTCAGGGTTGAAGATGTTACGCGTGATTTGGGTACGGCCACCACGGCAGGAAGGAGGAGGACTGCTGCCATCGTTCGTGCCAGGCGGCGGAAGGCCGCCGCTCGAGGCAAGAAAGTGCGCTACTTGACTACACTGGTCAAGAAATCGTCTAAGCTCTACAAACCAGGCGTGCTTGCCGTAGGCACCTGGGGCCACAATGTTGCTGGCCTCTCTGGGGCCCAAGTGCAGAGTGCGCGTGGGCAGGCCGCTGTCTGCTCTGGCCACTGGCATGCTGGAGCTTGTTCTACCACCATACTGAGCGTCTTCGGGGCCGAGAAGAATGATCCTATTTTTCGTCTGCGGCGTGAACAGTTATCTGGTTTTGTGACGCTTTGGAAATCCCTTTGTGATAAGGAGAAGCTGCGTGTTTCCCAGGTCTGGCAGGCTCGGTTTCAGGAGTACGTCAGTATCCCCAGGAACCAAGTTTGGAAACGGGTCCGTGGGCCGATCGCCGCCACTGTTGCTGTCTTGCTTGACCTGGGCTGGTGCCCATTGTATCCAGTGCACTGGCGTGACAATTTTGGCAACGACCTCTACACTGAGGCCCTGGATTTTGCCGTGACACTGCGGCGTGCTGTCAAGGCCACGTGCAGCGACCTGGTCTGGAGCCAGGCTGCCAAGCATTACCATGGGTATGGAATCGCGTCGGGAGTTGATTTCACGGTCCTCAGACAGGAGATCACTCGACTGGGGAAAGATTCTGATTACGAGGGGCAGTCTTTGCTTTGGAACCTTTGCTCTGCTGGCTTCTG